TTTGGTTCTTGAGCTATTGTACGGACTCCGATTTGGTCCCTGAACTAAAGAAATCTTTAATTTGGTCCTTGAACTATTATACGAACCCCTGAGTTGGTCCTTAAACTATTGTACAGACCCCGAGTTAGTCCTAAATTATTATATAGATCCCTAATTTGGTCTATACTATTTACCAATTTAACCTCAACTTGATCATTCTGTTAAATAATAGCTTAGAGACCAAATTGGGGTGAGATTTTAAACAGTAAGGACCAAATTAGGGGTCCGTACAATAGTTTAAGGACCAACTTAGGCCAAATTATAAACAGTGGGACTAAATCAGGGTCCGTACAATAATTTATGGATCAAATCAGGGATTTGTTTAGTTCAAGGACTAAATCAGAGGTCTGTATAATAACTTAGGGACCAAAATGGATATTTAACCAAAAAAAACTGTAGTCAATAATGGCCGCCTCGCCTGGTCTTCGTGTTTTCAAGGTTAGGTAGATCCATCATCCATGGATTAGAACTGCCGCATCGTTTTTTTACCCTTTTTAGAAAAAAAAAAAACCGTGAATGAGCATTTTATGGGAATAATCCTCTAAATTGCTCCTCAACTTGCTTGGTTTCTGGCCTTTTGCCCCTATACTTAAATATGAGACTTTAAGCCCTTGCATTATACCACTTATGGGTTTATTTGACTTGAAATTAACACCAATTTCTAAGTATTCATTAAAAGTTTGTCTTCTTTTTGCCACGTAATTTACACACCACTTAACATATACCAACATATACCTTTAAAAGTTATATAAGAGTTGGGACATGTCTTTATAGCTGACATGTTACATTGTGTGTAATTATTGAAATAAGATGTTGACATGCAAAACTCTAAAAAACACAGGAGATGCTCGAAATGATGTTAATCTGAAATTAAAACCCAGAAGTTTTGTAATACAAGAACTTAAAAATCTCATATTTAAGTACGAGGGTAAAAAGCCTTAAAACTTACAAGTTGAGAGGCAATTCAAGGCTTATTCCCCATTTTAATCAAGTCTTTTTGCTGATACATCTAATGATTGTATGTCATGGGAGGGAATAGTCTGCCTTTTTCTGAGAAATTACTTCTTATTCTACTCAATGTACGAGTTCTAAGATTTCCGAGGTGGAATTTCAAAAATTTTAGTAAGATTTGAAGCATATGAAATAAATTAATTAATTAAATTAAAAAACAAAAGTAAGTAGGGTTTTGGTTTTAGTTATCAATTTAAAAGTCTTAATTTATGTAAAAAGTCTATCAATTGTATTATTTTTTAATATTTAATTATAAGTAATGTAAGAGAGAATAATCCTTTATTTTTTTGAAATTCCTTTTCACATGATTTAAAGTTCAAAAATGAAATCTTTAATTTAAAATTTTAAACTTTTAAATAATTAAATTACCTCCTTCAATAAAGTTTGTCAATTTTAGTTTGGTAAAAAAAAAAAAAAAAACTAGCATAAACAATCTTATGTCTTTAAGGTAGATGTTAAGTTTTTTTTTTTTAATTATAAAAGTATATAAAAAGATATAAAAGTTAATATTAATTTTAGTATTAAGTGAATTTAATTAGATAATTAATGAATTAAAGATTAATTTTTATTTTTTAATATAAATTTATAATTAATAAAAATATATTTAATACACTCACTACAAGAAAATAGGTTTTCTGTGACCGAAA